TTGGTACGAAAAAAGTTGTTTTTATCCATTTGATCGGAATGTAAGCTTTCAAATTTCGACAATAAAAGTATGTCGTCTGTGTTTTTTTCTGCTCCATTGACATTTCAACGATTTATTGTCAAAGATTACGAAACAAAGACACAAGTTGTTGATTTCATTGTTATCAGACATCCAATTAGAGAACTGCTGTATGTGTCGTGTATTTGAAGGGAGCGCGTGTGAAAATGATCTTTAAAAATCTTATCCGAATGGATTTTTTTTCACAATGGATTGTTCGTCGCGGTTATATTGAATAGTGAAAGCATGTATGTGCATCACTGAAAATGAAATCGGCTGAATTGAAGCGTATATTCAAATCTTTGCGCAAATTTTTCATTTGATATTTCGTACTAATAGAGAGAGAGAGAGACAGAGAGAGAGAGAGAGAGAGAGAGAGAGAGACTGAGAGTGAGCTGCGTGCTTTCGATGTTTCGCGTTAGCAAAAATGGCTTCTATTTGCCAGAACGATTTTAGTTCAGCGAGCACAATTTACAATGAATGAGATTGATAAAGAGAGAGTGGGAGCGAGAAGGGGGTGCATGAGTGCCAAATACACAAAACGATTTCTGCATTTAATTGAATTGAGATGTTATTCAAGTTAGCATCGAAACGCATTCAAGAAAAACTTTTTTAATACAACACATTTTCCGACTTTTTCTCTATTGTCTGTGTCTCTTCATGTTGTTGGTATTTTTCGCTCTATTTCTCTCTCTCTCTCTCTCTCTCTCTCTCTCTCTTGCGCGTACCCCTTCCCACTAAATCGTCCATTTTTCTATTTGACTGTTCTGTTTCTCGCTGAGTGTTTTCTCTCTCCCTCTCTCTTCCTCCCTCTCCGCAAATGTAAGTTTGCGCTTCTTTATTGGCCTTGCCATCGTTGTATTGTGTGTGCAGCGTACTGTGCACATTTGATGTAAACAGTGCAAGTTCATGTAAAGTTTCTATTCAGTTGCAAATAACTAACAAAATCACCATGTTTCAAAACACGTATATGCCATTGCAACTGCTATTCTGAATCCAGTGAATTTCCATCCAACCGAAAGAGGCTTATGAACATTCAAATCTACACTACTATATACGAGCAGTTAGTTTTATTTGATTTAAATAACACAATCTCATCTTGCCTGGTCGATGGTAATAGGCATGAAGCATGAAAGTGCAAAGATTCAACAAAAGCGAAAATGTACGTAGGTGCATGTATGCATTCACGAGAAAAACAAATGAAAACACATACACGCTCACAAATTAACTTTCAAATAAAATGTTTACAATGAAATAAAACAAAAGATCGGAGAGCGGTAAGAGGCGGTTACGAGAAAACGCAAGAGCAGGGGATCGCGAGGGCAAAGAGCAACAGAGAAAATTGAAAAGAAGAAAATGGCTAAAGGATTGAGCGAAAAAGAATGTACCGCTTGCATTCAAAAGAGCAGTTAATTTGCAACATTGGCAGGAACACAGGGTAACATTAACAATAAAAACTTTTCGTTTGTTCCTTTGATTTAAATGCGCACAGAGAGAGAGAGAGAGAGGGGGGCAAAAATAAAAACAGCGCAAAAAACACAATGTAAAAAAGAAAAATGATGTTGATGCAATTGGACTAAGCTAGAACTTTGTTTGCTTCCTCTTTTGAATTGTTGTACAATTTCACAATGTTTAATGGAATGCCTCGAATTATAATTGCAATGGCTTAAGTTTGGCGTCGAAAATGCAAATTTAACATGGCTCATGTACTGCCAAATACAGCAAACATACATTTGTGGAACCATTTACTTTCTTTGATTGAATATTACTTGATGAACTTGAGACATTTTATGTGAAATTATGTTGAAGCGCACACCCTCATCATGCTGCTATATCTTGGGTTAGCACGCGAATACGATGAATGCTCACTGAACCAAAACAAATGAAGAATATACGACTTGCGTTCCCTGCGTTGCTTAAACATCCATGATAATCGCTTCAATTATTTTGTGGTCGTAAAACTTTCTGAACTGAACATATCAAATAATAAAATCTGTTTCATTTTTTTCCCCCTACCTCTTTCGCTTACTTTCTGTGTATATAAATATTTTCTTTACGTATTTAACCAAAGAATAGATCGGCTCACACTTTCCAGCTGGACAGATTGAGTCGAAATAATCCATTATTTCACTAGTTTTTCCACCGTCAAACCAAAAATGTTTTTTTTTTTTTGATGAATTGACTTGATCGCAAGCGATAGAGATTCAACATGTAATTTCCAGTTGAAAAACCATGACACCAACCATTCCGAATGCCAGAGTCGAAAATTATATTTTTGGCCCGAAATTGGTGTGTTGGGTCACAAAGCAATTTCCGCTGGTTTCGTGAAAATTGGTTCGATACAGCCGCTGCCGCCACCATAGTCTTTTCTCGTCGTTACCACTTCTGGTGTGCGGCGGGGGAGAAAAGTCAGCGATTCAACGATATGTCAAAGTTTTAACATGGGTTTTTGCAACCATAATCAACAGAATACTTTCACAGATATTTTGTATCTGTTTTTGTGGTGCACAATCTTTGGTAATTACATGGTTCAACAAAGAGAAAAACGCGTACAATCCTTTTATATTTTATTCAAACGGCAAATGGAAGCATAAAATCATGATAATATACATTCTAACCATAAGCAATTATTCAACAATTCAGGATTCCAATTAATCGGCCATCATAAATGCATCACTTCATTTTTATCTTCATTCATTTTTAACGAATGATATTTAAGCCAACGCAAATTTAAATACATTTTCATATGAATCGAATATGTTATAGGTACAATACACTGCAGCACAAAACCGAACAATAATAAAAGAAAATACACTGACAATTTACTTGGATGAAATTATTGATGAGAATTGTTGAAAATGAACAGAAATGTAATAGTTTGTTGTGCTAGAACTACTATTCACAAGATCGATCGAATATTCTGACTATGTTTTTTCGAAAGGACTCCCAAAGAGCTACAAACTGAGCGATTTTAATGAAAATCGTAGAAATCGCTTTACAACGTACAGATCAAATTGTATTTTGACTCCCATACAAATTCACACCAGTAACGTTTATAAATAAATTGAATGTAATTATCAAATTCAACAGTTTTGTATGTTGGACCAAATCAAAATTGAATAATAAATAGAATGTGCAAATGAATTGAAGGTATACTGACGACATACATTTCTCATTTATCATAATCAAATGTTTGAAATTGCAAACATTTATTAATTTTTTAACAGATTCCATGACACTTACTTAATCGATTTAATGTATTCCGGAATCGGAACCAATCGAGACGAAGCCAATTTGAACAAATCTACAATCACAAATTAATAGTAAAATGCAATTGAATACGTTATTCGATTTCTATATGCTGAGATTGGTCACCATTGGGCCTCCCTTTTTTACACAATTGTTTGCACAATGTGCTGCGAAGCAAACCAAATAATTGCAAAATACGAAGAGAGAACTAATATACAAGATAAAGAGTCTTACAGGAGTAAGACGAACTTTTCTGCACGGTGGTAGGTATTATTTTTGAAACACTTTTCATAACTAAAGCCACAAAAAAATTGGATTTTTGTATGGGGGCCATGTCTGTATGCTACCTTAATGGCGTGAAACTTTAAACAGGTTTTTTTTTACAAAAAATAACATTCGGAGGGTTTGGAGAAATTTCAACCAAAATTAAGAGTACCTCCCATACAAAATATTCGTTTTTGAGCCAAATGAAAATTTTGTATAGGAGGTACCCCTAGTTTTAATTGAAATCTCTTCAAACTTTCAGAATGTCATTTTTTTGTGTAAAAAATAGTCTGTGCAAAGTTTCACGTCATTAAGGTAGCATACACCCTACACGCATGGCTCCCACACAAAAATTTATTTTTTTTGCGGTTTTTTCAAGGAATTTGTATCAAAAATTGATTGTATCTCAAAACTAAGGCCGGATTCGGTTTTCTTGTGCCAAAAAACCCCCCAATACATATTTTTGAGTGTTTAAGTCCACATTAAGTATGACTTTTGAACGAAAATTGGACTCTTTTTCATATGTATCACTCCAGGCATGAAATTTTTTTCCATCAACCAAAGTCGCTCAAAATCTAATGATTTCTATTCCTCGCGACCATCAATCATCCTGTAAAGTCAGATTTTGAATTAAGTTTTTACGATGAGCGCAATCTTGCTAACAAATTTTGCGTACGACGTACAGATTAACAAAAATCATGTTTAAAAACGCCAAATTCGTGTTCTCTGACCTCAATAATGGGTATAAAAGATGTTTCTGAAGTTTTCAAAATTTTGACCGATTACAATACTTTTCACCTTACACTATGTGTGCGGAAAAGTAAAACTGTGACATAAATCGCTTGAGACAAATGCATGTGATATATATAGATTTTATTGAGTTATGGATGAGCGAGCATGTATGCAAACGATTGGGATATGGGTGTTTTGTATTTGGTTTGTCTCCTATATAATATTTGTATTTTGTACGGCACATATATGCGGTTTAACCATTTTCAATGGCAAATAAACCGAGTCGTTTTTCAATTCTGGCTTTGTTTACTTTTAATTCTTTTGGTGTAAACAGCATCACAAGCGAACTTTATACCAATGTGTCTAAATATAACATTGATTCAACTCCGGTTTGTTATTTTTTTCCTTCTTCGAAATTAAGTTGGAAGGAATTGAATGAATATAGAAAAGTCCCATTCTATTTTCAGATGGATAGAATGTCGATGTTTCAGGGTCAATACCATTATCATTGCATGAAATTGCAATATGCCTTTGCTCTTTCTGTGCACGTCTCTCTCTCTCTCTCTTAAGTTTCATTCGAAACTGGTTTTTTCTTCTTCTGCATCAGAACCTGAAGAAGAGATATCACTAACTTAATCACAAATGTGGTTCAGGTTTTCTCTTTCTGTTCGTTACTTCATTTGTTCTCTAGCTGATCGTTCATTAAACTCTTTCTCTTTGGAATGCAAATAATATTTAGTTATTGTTGAAATGTTGCGTGTCGTGCTCTCTGTACTTTGGGTGCTTGCATTTTTTGAAATTTGTCATTGTGATGATGGGTATGATTTTGATTTTTAACCAGCATTTTAAATTTGTGTTCGGTTATTTTTTTTTTTTTTTTCAAACAAACAAAAGAGAGTATTTTAATTGGTTTTATTTTTGTTCAGATTTTACACAATCGTTGTGTCCGAAAATTTGAGACCACATTCTGATTATCGTGTATCAGTATCGATTCACAATCAAAGCACACCGGTCACCATAAAATTGAGCATTGAAGATGAAGACGATACAATTGTTACAAAAGAAGTAACACTCACATCCGACAAAACCGAATTGATTAATTTACCGGTAGACGATCTAATCGTGAACAATAATTTTAAATTTACGGCCGAAGGCATTGACGGAATTATTTTCAAAAATGTCACATTATTGAATGTTGAATCGAAAAATTGCTCAATTTTCATACAAACGGATAAAGCGATTTATAAACCGGGCGAATCAATCAAATTTCGCATTTTAGTTCTTGACTTCAATCTCAAGCCAATCGAATTGGATAATAGCCACTTGAAAGTGTACATAATGGTAAATTATATTGAAATTCACATATAAAAGCAATGTTGGTAACATATCGGTGTCCCAACAGGATTCGGAAAAAAATCGCATAAAACAATGGAAAGAGAGTCAATTAAATACGGGCATCTTTTCGGCTGAATTACCACTTTCCGAGTCACCGGTGCTTGGCGACTGGACAATTACGGCCGAAGTTGGTGAAGAGGTAATGTGCCACTCAAGTCATTTTATATGCGATATGCAAATATTGTAATGTTGAATTGTAATTTAAAATGGTTGTGTATGCAAATAATAGGTGAAAAGTAAGACACTTCAAATCGAAGAGTATGTGTTGCCAAAATTTGATGTTAAAATCGATTCATCGGAGCACTTCAATGTTAAAGATGGTAAAATACGTGCTATAATTCGATCGAAGTACACGTATGGTAAATTGGTGAAGGGTCGTGCAATCGTAACAGTAAAACCAACAAGCTACCTTGCATGGTCGACGCGTCGTGAAACAGACACAGTTGCTAAAACAATCCCAATTGATGGCAAAGGTACCATCGAATTAGATATCACCGATGATTTGCACATTCAACCGGATGAATTTAAACGGAGCACAACGTACGCCCTGTCTGCTGTCGTTGTTGAAGAATTGACAGGTACATACATTATCCGTGTGTTTTTTTATTCGGCAAAGAGATAAAGAGTTCTTTGAACAGAAAATTTGCGACGGAATTACGATAATACGAATTAATGAAAAGAAATGCTTTCTTTTAGGTCGTAATCAAAGTGCATCGAAGGATATAACAATTCATCAGTTGCGGTATAAAATCAAAGCGTTGGATCTCGATCCACAATTTCAAAGTGGCATACCGGTTCGTGTAATGGTTGCTGTCACGTATCAAGACGATAAACCCGTTCATGTGAACTATGTCGTCAACCGGGATATTGTTATTTTGAAAATACCAAATAATAAAAATCTTAGTGAAACATACACAAAACATGAACTATCTAACAATGGTACGGTCTTGGTGAGCATTCCAACATCGAAGAAAGACGAAAGTGGTTTTATATTGAAGGTAACGTACGACACACACACACAGAGAGAGAGAGAAAGAGAGAGAGATTTTCATCTAGACAAATTTGCGTCTGCCGTTGAATCCTTTATCTTTTATTACAATACACATATCATATAGTTTATATTTTCACGTAAAATAGGATAATTTTATTGCAGGCAAAATATATGGACGAAGATGCCGAAATTGGCTACCTGTTTCCATCGAGCAATGTTGAACCGACAAATTTAGAGATTAAAGTATTAACTAAGAAGTGTGTATCGTTTATCCAAAATGCCAATTTCTATGCACAAATCATACCACAAAGGAACATTCGCACGCACCCAAACATTCCGTGTCGCACATATTAAATTATTACCATTTTCATTTTGCAGACCAACTTTGAACAAAGAGATATTTGTTGAGATTCAGTCAACCGACATTCTTGAACATTTTACATATCAAATTATCAGCCAGGGTCGACTCGTTTATTCGGATAGTTTTGATGTGCCACAACGAAATTATCACGTCTTTAACTTTTTGGCCACATTCGATTTGTTGCCGACGGCACATCTCATTGTTTATTACTTCAAAAATGATGAAATTGTTTCAAATAAAATTGACATTGACATACGAGACAATTTGAACAATTTTATTAAAGTAAAATTGTCGGAAACACGCATTCAACCGGGCGATAGTGTCAACATTGATATCATAACCAAACCTAAATCACGCATCGGACTACTTGGTGTCGATCAAAGTGTTTTATTGCTTAAAAAGAATAACGATTTATCGATTGAAGATGCATGGAATGAACGTGAACTCTACCAATATCAATTCTACGAACGAAATGCAAGATTAACAACATTTGGACATTCACCATATTTTTATAATAAATATTGGGGTGATTTTCAGGTAAATAAAATGACAACCACAAATCGACCTGTCTCGTTAAACACAATATTTGAACACTATTTCTTCAATCTCATTGTAACAGTCAACACGAATGATATTGTTTACAAACGCAAAACAAGATGGTATGTTGTCTGCAAACATTCTTGAATTTGTGCTTGAATTTTGTTGTTTTTTTTTTCTTAAATCAATTGCGTTTCAGTCTATCCCATAATTCGAGAGTCATACAAACCGCTTTTGTTCAATAAAGCCGGTGTTGCACATCCAGAAACATTGACATCAGCTATGTACGCCAATCAACCGAGTAAAATTCAAAGGCATCCATCTCAACCTCCGACTGCTGCACCATCGCATGTTCCAAAAATGCGAAAAGATTTTCCGGAAACTTGGCTTTGGCAAACAATCAACATTGATGAGTAAGTTAATTGAGAGCAATTTGAAATAACTATATCAGAAATTCGATTTTGATTCATTTTGAATAATTTTACATCAGTGAAAATGGAACATATAGTATGAAGCAAAATGTGCCTGATACAATAACATCATGGGTGATTAGTGCATTCTCCATAGATCCGATAACTGGTCTTGGATTAACAAAAAAACCGCGTGTATTGGAGGTGTTTCAACCATTTTTCGTTTCATTGAATTTACCATATTCGATGAAACTTGGTGAAATCTTATCGATTCCGGTGGCAATTTTCAATTATATGGAAATCGATACCGACGCCGATGTAACAATTCACAATAACAACAATGAATTTGAATTCATTGAAGACACAAACCAAAATCAAACGACATCAAGTTTAGAGCGATCGATGAAACTTACAATTGTTTCAAATCATGGTTCGAGTACATCGTTTAAAATTCGTCCGAAGAAAATCGGTGCGATTTCAATAAAAGTCACAGCAACATCACCACTTGCTGGCGATTCGATTGTACAAATTTTACACGTTGAACCGGAAGGAATTGCAAAGTTCAAGAATAAAGCTTTATTTGTCGATTTAAATGATGTGACATCGTTTGAATCGATGTTAACCGTTGACATTCCCGATGATATAATATTGGATTCGTTAAAAATCGATGTGAATTGCGTCGGTGATTTGCTCGGCGGTACAATCAAAAATCTCAACAAATTGATTCGCTTGCCATCCGGTTGTGGTGAACAGAATATGTTGAATTTTGTACCGAACATCGTGATTTTAAAGTATTTGAAAGTGGTTGGCCAACTGAAGGCTGGCATTGAACGAAAAATAAAATTGTATACGGAAAAAGGCTATCAGCGGGAGCTTACTTATCGTCACAACGATGGTTCGTTCAGTGCATTTGGAAAATCGGATAAAAGTGGCAGCACATGGTTAACGGCATTCGTTGCAAAATCGTTTCGACAGGCAGCATCATTCATTGATGTCGATGAAAATATCATCGATGACGCATTGAAATGGTTGAGTAAAAAACAGAATAAAGACGGAAGTTTCCTCGAAATTGGAACGGTGTCACACAAAGCAATGCAAGGTGGTTCGGGTAAAGGTGTTGCATTAACCGCATACGTATTGACAGCATTTTTAGAAAATCGAGATGTGGAAACAACTTATGATGAAACTATAAATAAAGCCATTGACTATATTACAAAATCACTTGAGGCACAACATAAACATCACATAAATGATATCTATGCACTGGCTGTGGCTGCATATGCAATGCAACTGGCAGACCATCCGAATAAAGACGATTTTCTGGCTAAACTATTGAAAAAAGCAACAACCAAAGGTATTACAAAATTCAATTCACTCGAATTTAATGCGAATGAGATAGAGAAGCGATATAGCAAAGTTACTTGACGCTTTTTGTTGATTTTGCACGTCGCATTTATTTTTGACATTCGGAAGCAACAGGATGTTTCTTTTTTTTGATTGAATTCCAGATAACATACAGATAATTATTTTTTTTTTTGCCAATTTAATTTTTTATTTTGCACAAAATATTTTTCTGGTTCACTTGCCATGATATAATTATTTTTATTTTTAATGTTTTACTATATTATAATAATGATGATGATGATAATGTGTTTTAGATGAAACAAAATGGTTGTCTAGATATGAGGTAGCATCGAAAAATTCAACAAATAGATCATCGAAAACATTAAACATCGAAATTACGTCGTATGGACTGTTGGCGATACTCGAAAGTGGTCAATTTGCCGATGGATTTCCGTACTTCAAGTTTTTACTGAGTCAACGCAATAATAAAGGTGGATTTATTGGTACACAAGACACGGTGATGGGATTACAAGCCCTAGCCAAATTTGCCGAACGAATTTCGATTCGCGATAATAATATTGAAATTATGGTGCATACTGATAATTTACCAAATCACACATATTTCAATGTTAATCCAGAAAACGCTTTGATTTATCAATCGCACGAATTACCGTCAACCATTCGTGCAATCAATATCACTGCAAATGGACATGGTTTTGCACTATTTCAGCTATCATATAAATATCATACAAACAAAATCGAAATGGAGCCATCGTTCAAATTGAAACCAAATACACTGAATAATTCGAATGAAGCTTACCTCAAGCTACAAGTTTGCGTCACGTAATTATCAACTTTATTTGTATAAATTTGATTTGAAAAAAGTTTCTGTATCATACAATTTGCATGTAGTTTTTTATTTGTTTGTTTGCCTATATCTCATCTCGGGTTTTTTTTTATTTCCTGAACATTCTACACTTTTTCCAAATGGCTACATGTGAGTTGTAGTTGTAGTGACACTATTATAAATTTTTTTGTCTCAAAAATTCATGTTACAGATATGAACCGATCAAAAGTAAAGAGAAACGAACAAATATGGTGATCCTGGAAGTAGCTTTGCCCAGTGGTTATGTTGCCGAATCCGATACATTAATCAATGTATCCAATTCATATAATGTGAAAAAAGTCGAAACGAAAAATGCTGACACCATATTCATTGTGTATTTTGATAATTTCGAAATAAATAAAGAAATTTGCCCCGTATTTGATGCATTCAGAGCGCACAAAATAGCCGAACAAAAGCCAGTTCCCATCTCGGTTTACGACTACTATGACAGCAGTGAGTAAAGTGAACAAAAATAATATTGATATTTTTTTTTTTCCAACTCACGTCAACAACAAATCAAGATAACAAAAACAACTATCTTTCCTACTCATTTTTAGGCGATCGTGCAACTGCATTTTACAGTGCACCGCAATACAACAACATCATTTGATATGATTAAAAAAACACACACACACATGCGTCGCATACAAATATATAATAATAAAAAGTTAGTCAAATTTCAGAGAAAAAATCTTTGTATTTCTAATTATATTGCTGTTCATCAATAATAAAAGCAAACACATATTGAATCAATGAAAAAATAAGTCAATTTATTTAAATCACCGGGAATCCCAAGTTGAAAACAAATCACAAAGAATGATAGAGAGCAGCATACCGAACAATTTTTAAATTGACTCGAAGCGAAAAAGAGACGAGAACGAGAGAAAAATATGCTAATTGACTAGATTAAATCTTTGTGGCCGGTGTGTGTACGTATGGTAGTGAGCTGTATAAAGTAAATTTGTCAATGTGTATATGTACAACCGGTGTCCGAATATTGATTCATAACATGCATGTTGTTAAAACGAAAACAAAAATACTAACATATTGCCGTGACACTCACATTGTTTTCGTCTTTACTTATCATATTTATTCATAAATTGGCTAATTCATGTGTCATATACAGCTTTGTGTTGTAGTGTATTCTATATATACGTGTACCGTGTCGATTGTCCATTCTAACATAAATCGTGTTAGTCTGACTTTGAGACAATCTTACATAAGTCATGTATCAACTGCTTCGGTCTTGAAGCACAATCGTCATTTTTTGGTTTGTTAATTGTACATTTTTGTTGTTTTGATCTTTGGTCTTGTTTCGTTCTTGCCACGACAACAACATCGAACCGATACGTCGGTGATAGTGGTCAACAGATTATATACTTTTTCTATATAAAAATATCTCGTTTTTTACATTCAAATTCAGTCGACATATTGACATCAAATATCTCACACTTTGCTAGAGATTTTGAGCCGACATTTCATTTCTCTCAACTCCAGTTAAAAACACATTGAAAAGTGTACATCATTCTTATTTTTCTGTAAACGAAATTTTAAAATAAAATGCAGCGAATTTCGCCGCTTTTGATTTTTATTTTTGCGGCGTCTGCATTGGTTGGCTTCGCCAGTTGTGTGGGGTGAGTACATTAAATTATAATTATTATTATTGAATTAGCTAGAATAATTGTACAAGAAAAAAAACGTTCGAATTAATATGTGCGTGAATATATTTTTGATCGGAAATTGGTATGTGTTCATCTAGAGTGATCTTGACTGGGTAAAACTAAGCTTGACAGTGCATTTGAAAAATTTCTGTATCGCAGTTATGAAACAAAACGTATTAAAATTTAGCGTCTGCTTAAATGACCTTGAATCAATCACGTTCTACAAAAAGTCGCAAAAAACCCAAACGAGAATATTTACATTTTGAATAAAAACTGAGACTGTTCAGATAATGAATGAAAAGACAGATTTATTATAACATTCAAACAGCATA